CCCAAGAGTGCCTCAAGAGGCTCCGAAGAGGCATCCTCCCCCTTCTCCTTTTTCCTCCTTCTCCTCCTCTTCCTCTTCCTCCCCCACGTGTTCCCCGAAGGCTTTCCAAACCGACTCGGGGAACACATGGTCCGATAGCTTCGCCCCCCAAGATGCCTCCAAGACGGCCCAAGATGCCTCCAAGAGGCCCCAAGAGGCCTCCAAGAGTGTCCCAGAGGCTCCCAAGATGCCCCCTCTTCCTCCTTCTTCTCCTGCGCCTCCTCCTCCTTCTCCTCCACCTCCTCCTCCTCCTCCTCCACCACCTCCTCCTCCGCTTCCTCCTGATCTTCCCCGCCATCCTCCACCACGTGTTCCTCAAAATTTTTCCACAACGGCTGGGGGAAGACATGGTCCGATAGCTTGGAAGAGCTCTTGCCACAACGCTCGGCCACATGGGCGATTCTAGAAAGCAGGGGGCGGCGGTGATGCGCCGTAGGCGTCTTCGATAATCCGCCGCCCCCTGTTGGCTTGCCACAGGGGTGCCTGGCGTGCTAGACCCTTTCGGTTTTGGTGTTGGTTCTATGTCCCAAAGAACCCCCCATGGGGCTTCGGCCCGTCCCGCCGGCCACCCGAAAGGGATCTCAATCCCCCCAAAAATCCTCCAAGACGGCTCAAGATGGCCTCCAAGATGGCCACATTGGCCCAAGATGGCCTCCAAAATGGTCCAAGATGGCCTCCAAGTCCGCCCAAGATGGTCCAACACGGTCTCCAAGACGGCCCAAGAGAGTCCAAGATACCTCCAAGTTCGCCCAAGAAGCCTCCAAGACGGCCCAACAAGACCCGAGAGGCCTCCAAGAGGTCCTCCAGGAGGACCCGAAGAGGCCAAAATCATTACCAGAGGTTTTGAAGGATGTTGGCATTTGTTTCTTCTCGGCATTCCGACGGCTCCAGACGGCCCAAGAGGCCCCAAAAATCGCCCCAAGATCGCCCACGAGGCCTCCAAGATGGCCCCATGACGGCACAAGAGGCCTCCAAGACGGTCGAGTTGGCCTCCAAGACGGCTACGATGGCCCCAAGATGCCTCCAAGACGGCCCAAGATGCACCCAAGACGACCTAGGATGGCCTCAATATTGCCCAAGACGGCCCAAGAGGCCCCCAAGAGCCTCCAAGACGGCCCAAGAGGCTTCCAAGAGGTCCTCCAGGAGGGCCCGAAGAGACCAAAATCATTGATTGTCCTAAGGTTTTTGAAGGATTTGGGCATTTGTTTCTTCTCGGCATTCCGACGGCTCAAGAGGCCCCCAAGATCGCCCCAAGATCGCCCACGAGGCCTCCAAGATGGCCCCTATGACGGCCCAAGAGGCCCCCAAGACGACCCAAGAGGCCCCCAAGAGGCCTCCAAGACGGTCGAGTTGGCCTCCAAGACGGCTAAGATGGCTCCAAGATACCTCCTAGACGGCACAAGATGCCCCCAAGACGGCCTAAGATGGCCTCAAGATGGCCCAAGACGGACCAAGAGGCCCCCACGAGCCTCCAAGACGGCTCCCCAGAGGCCTCCTCCTCCCTTCTCCTTCTTCCTCCCTCTCCTCTCCTTCCTCCTCCCCCACCGTGTTCCCCGAACGCTTTCCAGACCGATTTGGGCAACACCTGGTCCGATAGCTTGGCAGGCCTCTGGCCACAACGTTCGGCCACATGGGCGATTCTAGAAAGGCAAGGGGCGGTGGTGATTCGCCGTAGGCGTCTTCGATATGACCGGTGGAATCAGCGACGCGATTACATTATATTACGTTCGGCGAGCCCCCTGCGAGCCTTCGCCATGATGTAACATCCAAGGGTCGATAATGAGATGGTAGGATGATAGAGGAGAGGGAGAAGCATGCAGAAGGCATGCCAGGAGGGGCTTCGCGTGCCAAGAGTGACTTCGCACAGTCCGCCAGCCCCAAGAGGCCCGAAGGGGGCAGCCGCACCGTGATTGACCTTTTCAAAGATTTGGAAATGCATGCGAATTGCGCTCTCAGGCACGTGGCACACACACACACACATAAAAAAAAAACACGAGTGCGACGCGCTCCCATGGCCTCAGATGGCCGTTTCGCTCGGCACATCCTTGACAAATCGGCTTCGGAGGGTCCTATGAATCTCAAAAGCTGCCGTTTCGCTCGGGACAACCTCGACAACTCGGCTTCAGAGAGGATTCTGACTTGACAACTCCGAGTCTCAAGAATGACCGTTTCGCTCGAGGCATCCTCGACAATCTGCCCCGGAGGGCACTTTGAACTGGGCGGTTTGAACATAACCCCCCAGGGGACGCCAACATGACCCCAACGATTGGTACCGACCCTCGTCGAGGCCACATCCCTAAAACCCACTGGTTGCAAAAACTGCACGCAAGCTTCCTCTGGGGGCCCGCCGTGTCTCCCGTTTTGCGGGCTCAACAACTTCGCGTGCGATGACCGCTTACGTCCTGCTGGAAATATTTTACTCAGTGGCCGGCGCCATCGCCAAGGCCGTCGCGCAGTCTACCTGGCCTTCGCACATTGCTGGCCGCACCACCTGCAAATCATGCTTCCATGATGCCTGTGACATAGCTGCGCTGATAAAGATCATCTGGCCGACCTGTTCGGTTTTTCCTGCTGTGCGACTCTATGTGTCACGCCCAAATCCTAGGCCATGAGGCTCAGAAGATGAACGTATACTCACAACACGAGAATCAGACATGGAACCCACATGGAGAAACCGATGTGACCAAAGATGCGCAAACGCAGAAGTTTCTGGAGGGCACCTGCCGAAACAACGCACCGTTACCGAATCCGTGCTTGCACTGCACGAGTTATAGCGGGGGTAAAAGCATTCAGCGAACCCTTCGGGCTGATGTCAATGGGCGGCCGGGCTCCGGGGTCCCCAATTCCGGGCCGATGTCGGGGGGCGGCCAAGTTCCTTAGTTCCCGGTTCTGGCCTTCCTGGCGCGGTAGGCTTCCCAGGTTATCCTGTTCTTCGATGTGGCGAAGTACTTGGGTCCGTGTGACCACGGTCAGAATAAAATAAAGTCTAACGAAAGAGCGTGGAGAGGACATATCAAATAGTAGAGCGCAAAGATGAACATATAAGATAAAAGAGTAGAGATATGTGATCATAGCGATTTAGATACAAAGAGAACGAGAGAGAACAAAAAAAACGGGGGAATGATAAATATATATAGAGAGAGAGACTACCTGCGGCCACGGTCGAAACATATGGAGAAGAGAAATAGAAACAAACCGGTTACATACACATACGTATATACCGTTTTACTGCACGTGCCCACGCCAATGGTCTAATAGCTCAGTTTCCCCCTCTGACGGCGATTCGCCGCGAACCGCCCGACGCCCCCTTCCCCCGCAGCTGCGCCAAGCCAGGAGCAAGGCCCCCTGCAGCCAGAGCAACCAAGCGTGGCAGCCCACGTTGGCTTCACTCTGGGCTTCACGGGCCAGCTTCACGACGGGGAGGGGCGTTTCGGGACCCAGGTCGCACTGAACCCGTCCGCGGCACCGCAAAAAACGGGGAAAACACGCTATACCTGACGGGCTACGGCACCTCAGGCAAGCATTGAGCCGGCTAGCCTCTACAAGAAATCATTCTGGTGGGCGGTGCGTGAGTCGGGAGCCAGAACAGCTCTGGAACGGAGGGTAGACGGCGTAAGGGATACGCGCACCAAATGGTATGACCATACAAGCCAATATACGGACATACCGTTTTACTGCACGTGTCCACGCCAATGGTCTAATAGCTCAGTTTCCCCCCCAGACTGCGGTTCGCCGCGAACCGCCCGACGCCCCCTTCCCCCGCAGCTGCGCCCAGTCAAGAGCAAGGCCCCCTGCAGCCAGAGCAACCAAGCGTGGCAGTCCACACTGGCTTCACTCTGGGCTTCACGGGGCAGCTTCACGACGGGGAGTGGTGTTTCAGGACCCAGGTCACACTGAACCCCAGTCCGCGGCACCGCAAAGAACTGGGAAAACACGCTACACCATCTCCACCCCCTCGTGGCTTGCCAGCCGTGAAAATGCGGTTAAACTCTCCACCCCTCCACCTCATTTGCAGTACATTGGTCTGCTTTCGACTTGGAAACTACGAGATCATTGCCAGAGCGAAGCTCGTGAGCATATACGATAAAAATTCAACTCTGGAAATGCTCGCAACAAACGCAATCCACGCAAGCAAGCGGCGGCGGCCTGGTCCGCGGGCCGCACGCGCACGAGGTCGGCCACCGCACCCTCCATGTAGGTGCGGGCCGTCATGCTGCTTCTCACGAGCGTGGCCTCCATGGAGGACGACCGCAGGGAAAAAGTCTGAGGCGCCTCCTCGTCGGGCGGGCAGCCGCGAGCAGCGCCCAGGAAGGCCCTGACCGTGCGCGAGGGCTCCGAGCGCGCTTCTGAACTGGGCGGGCGACCTCCACGACTGGGCTTCGCTTGAGGGCCCTACTGCACGGCCAGCCTGAGCCTAGCCTTGGCCGCTGCTGACCTGATGACGACGGCCTCCGCAGCGTCCTTGCCTGCTGTGGTCTTGGACGCCTTGATCCGCAGCACGACTGAATGCCTCGGTCGAGAACGTCGTCCACCGTCAACGCAAAGGCCTCTGCACCCCGCAGCAGGCCCTCAAAGCTGATGAGCAGCAGGCAGCTCAAGTCCAGTGCTCCGGCCTCCGCCGCCAGGCTTGCCATGCCCGCGGCGATGTCGGGCGTGAGCGGCAGCGCCCGCTCTGCAGGCTCCGCTCGCCGCCAGGCCTTCAGCAGCGCCCGCAACAGGTCCAGCCTCCGCTCGAGCTTGGGCAACGGGAAGCACACGCTCGCGACAGTGTCGTTAGTCAGCGCGATGCCAGCCGATCAGCGGGTACATGTCTGCCGCGATCGCCATGGCCATGCGGCCTCCGGCGCTGGCTGCAAGCGGCAGCTGCTGCTGCGACCCTTGGTCACGATGGTCGCTAAACCTGACTGTCGAAGAAGTGGAACCACCGCGTGCAGTGTCAAGCTGACTTCTGCGCTCGCCACCGCATAGCTGCCAGCGCTGCCTGCAGCTCTCTCACGTTGATGTGCGCGCGCGCCTCACGCGGCCACGCCATGCTCAGCACGACGTGCCACCGCCGCACGAAGGGGCCCAGGCTCGAGCGAGGGCAGCCTCTTGGACGGCACGGCAGGCCGCAATCCAGCCGCGCGTCCGAGCCCCCCTGCTCCGCGCGGCCCAAGCAGTAGAGGGCGAGGCGCCTGGCCTCCTCGATGTTCGGGTCGCCCGAGCTGTCCTCGAAGCAGCCGCACTGGTCCCAGGTCTCGCGGCACTGGCCGACGCGCGCGATCTCGGACACGGACAGGGGGGCATGCCAAAGCGGACTCCACCAGGAGGGCGCGCTGCAAAGCCCCTGCGACCGCGCAGACGCTGAAGCTGTTCCCGAGCAGGACGGCCCTGGCGTCTGAGGCGGCCTGCGGGTCCGAGCCCTTCGTGGCTACAGCGGTGTAACCCACGTCGAACCCGAGCAGTGGTTCTCTCTCCGTGCAGCTTGGCCGCCTCCCTGGCGGCCTCCCAGAACCATCGTGGACGAGATTCTCCTCCTCGTACAGCGCAACGTGATAGCGAAACAAATCGGCCTGCCAGCGCGCCCCCATCTCATCGGATGCCGAGCCCAGGCCCCGCGGCGCCGACGGGAAGCTCAGAGCCCCCCCGCAGCGCACCACCGTCGGGAAGGGGGAGCGGGCGCTTGGCCCAGCGAAACTTCTGGTCCTCCCACTCGATGTCCAGCAACAGCCCGTTGTCTGCCATGACCTCGATGTAGCGTCCCTTGTCGACTAGGCGCAGCGGCGGCGCCACCTAGAGCGACGCGGCACCATGACCGACGAGCAGGGGAAGTACGGCTTAACCCCCTATGCAGCTGGACATGGCCTTGACGTTCTCGTCTGTCATCCTCGCCACGTTCTCGAGCAGCGAGTAGAACCGCCGCCCAAACGCCAACCGCACGAGCCAGAAGATCCAGGGCACCTCGTAGAACAGGGAGCTCCTGTGGCCATGCAGTCCCCCACCGCTCGCGCCAAGCCGCGAGAGGTCCTGGCACGGGCCGCCCGTGCCAGCGGCGCCCGCGTCCACAGTCTCCGAGAACGCGGCAAAGAGGTCCTGCACCAGGCTCTCGCCCCCCCGCGCCACGCCGCCCCAGTCGAACGCGCCTGGCCAGCGCAGCTGGATAACGAGCCCGGCCTTCGCGTCGGTCTCGGCGGCGACATAGGCGAAGATCCTGACGGGCAACTTCCAGAGCAACACCGCGAGGCCGCCGATGACGTCGAAGAGCCCCCCGACTAAAACATTGAGCACCTTCAACACGACTGCCTTCGGGATCCTCGGGTTAGACACGGTCCAGGGGCACCGCGGGTCTACAGGCATGCTGAGCAGCCAAGTGCCCGCGCCGAGGTGATCAGCGACCTGGCTCACGGATTTGAGCGCCAATGTCGCTTCCCCCCGAAGGCTCGTGAACGCGCAGACGCCGCCCCCGAACTCCGAGGCGTCCGAGACCGTGACCATCCCCTCAATGCGGGCGCGGAGAGAAGTGGCCGCTGTAGGCAGCAGCATGAGGCCCGAAAAGAACTCTTCGACCATCTCGGCATTGTACTGGACCGTAGATCGTGCCGTCGACATTGGCCATGCAGAGTTGAGGAGGCCGGAAAGCGGGCGTCCGAATTCAAAAGCCCGTTCCAGCTCGCCGAAGACTATCATGCACACACGCCAGGGCGCCCGCTCCTGCGACAACGTCGCGAGGCAAAGGGCAGCGGTGCTCAACGCCTTGGGGCCTGGCGCTGCAAGCCGCCCGCGGACGCCATCCACGTCGGCCCCCATGCGATCAACTCGCGTCTCCCGCAGGTGAGCCTTCTCCGCCGAGTAGGCCACGCCAGCGCACCTGTAGCTCTCGCGAACGCGCTGCTGGCAGTCCGCCTCGGTGCCCCCGAGCTGTCGCGCCCGCGCCTCGTCCACGATCTCGGGCGCGTCGAAGTCGTCGATGTACACCTGCCACCAGCCGGCCTCGCAGCCACTGCTCAGCTCGACGATCGGGCGTGCCTCGCACTTCTGCCACTCCAGCTCAGGCGGAAGCCCTGCACCCCTGGGCGGCGGCAGGCGGCGCAGCGTGCGGTGAATGTGCTGGAAGATTGGCACCGCCAGCATCCACCCCATGGCAATCACCGCGGGCGCGATGTACACCTGCCGCTCGGGGCGCCCGAAGAGCGCGCCAGCGGGAGACCTGCCGACCGCCATGTCGGGGTGCCAGGCCTTGGGGATCCTCCAGACGAAGAAGGCCCCCTTCTGATCGTCACCCGACCACAACAGCAACTTGCCCTCGGGCATGTGCAGGGACACCCAGCTTGTGGACGCCGCGAGGAGCGAAGCTTCACCGACATGCGGCTTGAGCAGGGCGTTGCCAAGGACCATGTTCAAGATCAGCCCGGTGGCCCCTTCGCAGCCTGGCCCTGGCTTGCCCTCCTTTGCCACAGCGAAGGACCCGTTCAAGAGCGGCTCGCCCCTGACCCTGACGAATTGGTCCTCGCTCAGCACCGCGAAGATCCCCAGCTCCGCGAGGTGCACCGCGAGCTCATGCCGACCCGCTTCGTCCGCGACGTTGGCCCTGGCTCGAGGCCTGGAGTCGGGCCAGTCGGCCTCGGGAAGGAGGGCCTTCTCGGGCGAGGCCAGCCACTCGGCAACGTCGGGCTCCACGAAGTCTAGGGCGCCCAGCTCCGCGGCGTGCTCGGGCTGCGGCAAGCCTGACGCCAGCTCCGCGAGCACGCAGGGCAACGCCTTGGCCAAGGGCTCGCCTGAGTAGTCCACGGTCGCCTCGCTGAGGGCCGCGTCGGCGGTGGACACGCTCGCCCGCTCGAACGGGTGCCCCAGGAAGTCGACGACGCGGGACCTCAGGAACCCCATGGCCTGCTGCTGCGCCTGGGACAAGATCGGGCGATGCCTCCAACCCTCTCTGCAGAGACCACCGTACGTGTAATTCAGCGCCGCGACGGTGAGAAGCAACCAGGCCTCCTCAGCTACCTGACGAGCGACAGGCCTGGCCCTGCACGCGTGCCCAGCATCTCTGCTCTTGCACCAGCGCCTGACAGCCAGGAGACTTGGCAGGGGCAGCGGCAGCAGGTCACGAACGCGCCTGCCGCTCCCGCTAAGTGTGGACACATGCTCTGCGAATTCTCTCGAGAAAGTCCCCAGGCTGCCAGGGTGGCGCTCGACGAGCTGCACGAGGTGCACTGTCATGTCGACGCTCGTGATGGTCGCGCCGAACAGGACCGTGACCTCGTCGCACCACGCCCCAGCGTCGCGCGCGGCACAGCCCGCGGCGGGGAGGCCCCCCCCGCATGCCGCGTGGGAGAGAAGTGCTCGCCAGCCCCCGCTGCTGGCCCCCGCTGGGAGGCGCTCCAGCCGCCTCCAGCCAGGGGGGGCCCTCAGACACCAGCAGCGACCCGCTGCTACAGGTCGGGAACCGCGCCGCGCCCTTCCCCTCAGGAGCTGCAGGCCCAGCAGCCTCGGCAACGTTTGCCACCGCCTCTGGCCGCGCGACTCCGTCATGAGGGCCCGCGGCCGCACCTTGCACTCCTTCGATGTCTCGCCGTCCTTCCTCGGACTGACAGCCCTCGCCACCCTGAAGTTCCGCGGCGCCTGCGAGACTCCGGCGGGCAGCTTCTCTGCGGTCTTGTCGAGCTGCGCGGCTCGCTGATGAGGCGGCCCCTCGCCCTCCCTCGCGCTGCCCTTCGGCGCCCTCGGGCGGTCGGGCGCGCGATTGCCGGGCAGCCTCGCTGTCGCAGGGGGCGCCCCCCCTGCCTGGCCTGCGGGGGGGGGCGCCAGCAGCGGGCGCGCCTCCTCCTGGCCTCCACTTCAACCCTGAGGCTTGCGAAGCCGGCTGCTGAGCTCCTCCAGCTTCAACTCGCCGAGCTCGATGCTGCGGACCATCTCCTCCTCCTCGTCGCGCAGCGTGGAGGGCTCGTCCATGGCGAGGATCAGCTCGAGCCACTTCGCCGCGCCCCAGTGGCCGTCGCCGACGGCCACCTGCGCCGCCTTCAGCCGCTGGGTCAAGATGTCCAGCGCCTGAGGAATCTTGCCCTGGAGGAGAAAGTCGATCGCCTCGGCCAGCGTCCGCATCTCGCGATACGCAGCCACCCCGATCTGCTGCACTGGGTTCTGCGGCAAGTAGATCGCGTGCAGGTGCCTCAGCACGAGCGCCGTCGTCGGGCCCACCGCCGTGTCACCCTCGACGGCGCCGAGGAACTCTGCCATCTGCATCAGCGTGAGCTCCGACAACCTGCCAGGCTGGTCCTGCGCCATCTTCCTGCAGCGAGCCCGCTTGGTCGCAAGTCCCCCCGTGGCTGCAGCCCCGTCGGCCGCGCTGAGGGGGTCCGAGGCGGCGCCGGCGCCCGAGCTGCTAGCGGCCTGCGCGACCGAGCTCTTGAGCACCGCCATGAGCGCCGTCGCCAGCTCCTTCGCGCCTTCGCCCGCAGCTCCCCCGCTGGCCATATCCGCAGCAGCTGGGCTTCTTGAGCCGCGCGCCGCCTCGGCGCTGGGGGCCTTGGCGACCTTCGCCATGCGCTCCGCGAGCACCTCGGCGAAGCCCCGCTTCTTCGGCTTGCCCTCGCTCGGCGCACCCTCTGCGCTGCCGAGAGGTGCGCCAGCCGCAGCGGCTCCAGGCGCTGCCGAGGCGAACCGGCTCCGCGCCGCAGCGAGCCTGAGCTCGTCCCGCGCGGGCCCCAGGTCGAGCGGGAGGCCTGCAGCCCGCACGGCCAGGGCACTGTCGCCGAGCAGCTCATCGAAGGGAGCGTCGCGGCCCACGACCGTGCGCTTGGCTGCGCGCAGCCCAGCTGCCCCAGGTGTCGGCGGCGCAGCACTCTCCTTCGTCGGGCGCGCCGACTGGCGTGGGGCGGCCAGCCGCGCCGCACGCAGCCCCAGCAGGTCCGCGGGCCAGACCGCCTCGGGGCTGCGGGGCAGACAGTTGGAGAAGACCTCGGCGATGTCCTCCGCCTCCAGCCTGCGGGCGTCCGAGACGTGGACAAGCTCGTCACGGCCCGCAGGCGCCTCCACGCCGCGCGGCTCGTCCGCGCAGATTTGCAGCAGGGCGCTGGGGGAGATCCCACCCGCCACGCCTGGAGACGCCGCCCACCAGTCCCAATACGCATCGCCGTTGAAGAGGAGCCTCGCACGCACGAGCTGCTCGGAGGCAGCTATGACCCGCAGCTCCAGCCACGCGCAATCGCACTGCTGCCCCCCATCGTCGCTGAAGCCCGTACTCAAGTAGAACGAGTTCGGCTCGATGACAATCGGCTCGGCGGGCGACGGCTCCAGCTCCTCCAATGCGACCGCAGCCTCGTCGTCGTCCTCGACGACCTCGAGCCCTAAGCCGTCATCGAGCAGCTACCTGACCGAGGCGACGACGCCGCCTCCGCGAGCAGCATCCATCTCCCGTCCTGGAGTGCGCTCGTGCTCGCGGCACCGAGCGCACGCAGCGTGCCGTGGCCCAGGCCCGCCGCCAGGCCGCGCGACGGCGTCGCGCGGATGCCACGGCGCACTGCGACCCTCGCGCCGCGGCGGACGCACCACCGCGGCGCGGGAGAGGGGAGCCTGGCTCGGGGCCAAAACTCACGAGCCAGAACGGCTCTGGAACGGAGGGTAGACGGCGTAGGGGATACACGCACCAAATGGTATGACCATACAAGCGAGTATACGGACATACACAGATGCATGTACACATGTGAATATATACACAATATGTTGTTGTTTCCCTTCGCCTCGCCACACAACCTATTGCCCCTCTTTCTCATCCTTTGCGCAGGAGCACGGACGTCGCATCCCACCACGGTAATTCGACAGAACGTGGCGTGCTCGTGCACTTGATCGTTTTAGGGTGGGCTCTGTTGTCTCGTGTGTCGTGAACTTGCGGGTTTGAATCAGCTCGGGCATGGTGTGGCTTCAGTAACGCGTCACGGTTTTTTGCGCATATCACATACCACGCGTCACGGTTGGCAATTGCGTTGGTGGTCGTGCTGGTGTGCAAGCTGTAAATGGTGCCAGCGGTTGTGCTGGTGGTCGTGCTGCTAGTTATGCTGGTGGTCGTGCTGGTGATGGTGCTGGCGGGTGGTCGTGCTGGTGGTTTTTGCTCGTGGTCATGCTGGAGGTCACGCTGGTGGTACGTCGTGCTGGCGGTCGTGCTGGTGGTCGTGCTGGTGGTCGTGCTAGCATTCGTGTTGGGAGCGCGGGGCCTTGATCCTGGGGCCAGGATCGGGGACGGTGGGCGCTTCGGGCGACTTGCGCCGCGGGGCCCAATGGTTAGGTTTTCGTAAGGGGTAGGCATGTCTGGCAGCGAAGAGCCACCCAACGGGACGTCAGGCGCCCTCCAGGGACGGGGGACGCCCGCTCCGCGGGGCCGTCGTGGAAAGCATGTCCAAGGTCCAAGGGCGCAGAGCAAGATACAAGATAGCCCGCTATCCCAAGCCTGCGGAACCTCAGCGGAGGCTCGGAGCCGCAGGGCTCGCCGTCGCAAGGCCCGAGGGATCACAAACCCGTACGCGCTGAGGTTCTATGCGGTAGCAGTTTGTCACGCCGTAAGGGAAGCACCGTGCAAACACCGTGCGAAATGAACGAGTGAGGCCCCTCCAGGCCTTCTTGCAGGTCCTCCTGCGGCCCTTTTGGGCTATTTTGGGGCCTTCTTGGGCTTTTCTGAATCCATTCTGTCCTTGTCTTGGGTGGCCTTGGCCGCGTTGACGCCTCCTTGGGCCCGTTTCGGGGCCACCTTGGGCACTCGTGGAGGTTCCTCGGGCCCTGCGCCCCCTACGTGAAGCCCTGTCGGCCTGTCTTGGGGCCCTCTTGGGCCGTCTTGGGGCCCTCTTGAGCTGTCTTGGAGCCCTCGTGGCGGCCTTGTCGACTGTCCTGAGGGCATGTGGGGGGCCTCTCAGATCGCTTTGGGTCATGGGGAGCTTACAGAAGAAGAACCGTGAAAACCGCACAACATACTCGGAAAAACCACCGTTCGTGGCCTCGTGAAGCCCTCTTGGAAATCTGGAGGGCTTCTGGGGCTGTCTTTGGGCCCTCTTGGACCACCATCCTAAATTGTACTGGAGCGTCTTCGGGCGGTCTGGGGCTCCTTGGCGCGCTCTTGGAGCCCTCTCGGACCTCTCGGAACCCTTCTGGGGCCGGCCGTAGCCCGTCCTGGCTGTATCTTCGGGAGTCCTGGAGATGTCCCGAAGTCTTCCAGAACTCATCGGAGGTTGCTGAACTAGGTGACGCCCATCTGCGAGGGGGGGCCTACTCATTAGATAAGTGAAGGCGTACATGAGAGAAAGAGGGAGTATGCATACATGCTGGTGTATATATATATATATGGTAACAGAATACCGAGAGTTGAGAGAGCATGTTTATTTGTACATATACATCTGTCATATATATATATTTATAAATATATATGTTTATAGAGAGATGGAAACAATGTTTTATTTAATGAACAAACCAACAAAAACAACAACATAAAAAAACGAGAGAGAGAGAGAGAAACAACACATGATAACAACTGTGCATGTTGAGAGAGACAGAAAAATATGGAAAGAGAAAGAGAGAGAGAAAGAGAGAGAGAGAAAAAAAAAAAACAACAACAACAAAAGACACAGAGAAGAGAGAGAGGGGGAGAGAGAGAGAGAGGGAGAGGACACTGTGCCCGAACTTGCTCGTGCAATTTAACATTACATTATCGGCACGGGCTGCTCGCAAATAGCCACTCCCATTCCGGCGCCCAGACAAAATGGCTACGCTTCTGCACTCCCGGCCAGCCACTGCCCCCGTTCCCCCGCGCGTTCCTCCGCAGCTGCGCGTAAAACCGGTGGCAGCTCGCTGCTCAAACCCTCTGCCTCTTCGGTCTTGGCCTCGTCCTTCTGACTACCCACCAGACCACTCCAATCCAACCCGAAGACACCTTCATGATCGTCGGTTTCCGTTGGGGGGGGGACTCCAAAACATTGAGGGAGCACGATGGAACGCGTACGCCCCCCGACCCGAAATTTGGGAGGGTCTGGAACCCTCGGGCTGGATTTGGGGTGGTTTGGTAAGTAGCGACCTTCGGCTCCCCCAGCACGTCGCTCAGATCTTCAGTGGTCAGACCAAGCTGGCTGCCCACAGAAATTATGCCGTCCAAGCCTACGCCACGTGTCTTGAAGTCGGCGCCGTCCTGTAGCTCAGGCTTCGCAGTTGATGCTGAAGCTCGAACAAATGGGCTCGTCTTGCAATCACGCCGTGCCCGTTTTGAAATCGGGGCGTCTTTGAGCCCGCTGTTCGGCCTGACGAGCAATCTCTTTCTTCTGGTATGACTCATCTGGCCAACACCCTCAATTTGCTCGGCATGTCCCCAAAACAATGTATCCTTCTCATCGACCGGCTCCTCTTTGCTTTCGTCGATTCCAAACGCGTCGCCAGGGGGCACCCCGACAGCGTCCAGACCGAACACGTCATCCTCAGGCTTCGCCACAACCTCCTGCTTTGCATGGCCGATCCCGAGAGAGCTGCTCGAAGAAAATATGGCCCCGTGGTCGCCTCGGCCCCCCATGGTCGCACGGGGGCCCACCCAAAAGGTCAAAGACCTTCAACACGGAGGTCCGATTTCCATTCTGAAAGTTTGTTCCTCCGTTCGGTAGTGGAGGTCCGACCTCCATTCTCAAAGTTCCCTGAACAGCTTGCCTGTGAGGGTCTTCAAATTGCTTCTACGAAACCGGATACGGGCGGACACAGACCTGGAATCGGTCGGGCGCCGATTGTCTCCCGCTGTCTTCCGTGATCCCCCGTTGTCTCCCGTTCTCGCCCGTTGTCTCCCGCTGTCTCCCGTTGCCTCCCGTTGTCTCCTGTTGTCTCCCAGTGTCTTCCCTTGTCGCCCTATTACTGTCCCCATCCTCATCTCTAGTTTTCTATCCCGACCCCTACCCCTAATGCATATCCCTATCCCCATCCCGATCCTTACCCCTATATCTCTACTATCCCTGTATTCCTAGCCCCAAATCCCTTCCCTCTATATATATATATATATATATATCACCTTTCTTCTGGTGTTCGTATTAGGCTTCGCAATCCTAATCGCGTTCCTCATGGTATTCGCAATCAACTTTGATATCGCTAGTGTGGGTGGTAGTGCCAGTTTTCGTCAGAGTAGTGATATAGGGTAAGATGCATGGTAGTACAAGAGCACAACTCAGATAGCACGGCACAGCCTGGAGAAAACATATAACAACATGTGCAGTACGAGCGTGCTGAATGATAAGCGAAGGGCGGCGCCCACAACAGGGTCATTAAATTATGCCCGCCTTTCAATGTTGGCAGCATGCGCAAGTGTGCACCATGGTCAAGTTACCGATATAGCTCCCATTGGCTTGCGAGCCCGTATGCAGCATTCATTGATTGAGAGGGGGATGCAACTGCTTGCCTGGATGTGTGTTCCAAATTGAGTCCTCATTGGGTCGCAGGCATGGGTGGTCTCAGTTTATTATTTACAGCTTCGTGCCCCCAATGAGATGCACGCCATACACCTCGCAACAATTGCGCGGCAGTGTTTTGCAACATGGACAGGCGCATGCCACTTAATGCGTCGGGCCTCGCCCGCATTGTTTCACGGAGTCCATCCCCGTGCTAATGTTGTTATTAACTTTGCTTCACGGATATGTATAAGGCAAAAGCGTAGCTACGCACCCGCTGTCGCCAGGTGGGCTTCAAAATGCACCGCCGTGATATGGTTCCTGTGCTGCAGAGCATGCGTCTTCCACGCTGGCCCCACCTCGGTCACCACGCGATCTGAACAACATATACCACTCGTCTTCGCTATCGATCTCCTCGTCCCCCCTCCTCCTCCAGTACTTGGGCTTCCTCCTCCTCTTGCTCCTCGCCCTCCTCCTCACGAATTGATAACCAGCAGTGCCATCGTCGATCTCACAAGTACTTCAGCCCTCTCCTCTCCTCCTCGTCCTCCTCCTCCTGTTCCTCCTTCTCATCTGGGCGAGCAATACACTATATTTGACCTAGTGGTGCTGCGTGCATTTTTACGACTACTACTACTACTACTACTACTACTACTACTACCACCACTACCACTACCACTACCACTACTACTACTACTACTACTACTACTACTACTACTACTACTACTACTACTACTACTACTACTACTACTACTACTACTACTACTACTACTACTACTACTACTACGACTACTACTACTACTACTACTACTACTACTACTACTACTACTACTACTACTACTACTACTACTACTACTACTACTACTACTACTACTACTACTACTACTACTACTACTACTACTACTACTACTACTACTACTACTACTACTACTACTACTACTACTACTACTACTACTACTACTACTGCTACTACTACTACTACTGCGACTACCACTACTACTACTACTACTACTACTACTACTACTACTACTACTACTACTACTACTACTACTACTACTACTACTACTACTACTACTACTACTACTACTACTACTACTACTACTACTACTACTACTACTACTACTACTACTACTACTACTACTACTACTACTACTACTACTACTACTACTTACTACTACTACTATTACTACTACTACTACTACTACTACTACTACTACTACTACTACTACTACTACTACTACTACTACTACTACTACTACTACTACTACTACTACTACTACTACTACTACTACTACTACTACTACTACTACTACTACTACTACTACTACTACTACTACTACTACTACTACTACTACTACTACTACTACTACTACTACTACTACTACTACTACTACTACTACTACTACTACTACTACTACTACTACTACTACTACTAACTACTACTACTACTACTACTACTACTACTACTACTACTACTACTACTACTACTACTACTACTACTACGACTACTACTACTACTACTACTACTACTACTACTACTACTACTACTACTACTACTACTACGACTACTACTACTACTACTACTACTACTACTACTGCTACTACTACTACTACTACGACTACTACGACTACTACTACGACTCCGACGACTACTACTACTACTGCTACTACTACTACCACCACCACCACCACCCCCACCACCACCACCACACACCACCCCACCTACTACTACTACTACTACTACTACTACTACTACTACTACTACTACTACTACTACTACTACTACTACTACTACTACTACTACTACGACTACGACTACGACTACGACTACGACTACGACTACGACTACGACTACGACTACTACGACTACGACTAGGACTAGGACTAGGACTAGGACTAGGACTAGGACTAGGACTACGACTACGACTACGACTACGACTACGCCTACGACTACGACTACGACTACGACTACGACTACGACTACGACTACTACTACCAAACCGACTTCGGCCAGATGTAAATGCCATGTGTCCGCGTACGCTATCATTTGTTGCTGTAAGCGCTAAGCTTTCTCGGCCCCTGAAAGTGTGCGGGCTTCTGTTCTCTCTTGCCCCTGCCTCTCGCCTCTGCTCCCTCTCCCGCTGCCCGACTGGGGTCCCAAACCTCTCCGGGTCGAACTGCGGGTCGGTCTCAAATGGCCCGAGGCCAGGCACTCCGGAAGCCCACTCCGGCCAGGGCGCACGACTCTGGGAGTCCCCGGAAGCCGCCGCGCGCAGCGCGATGTCGCGCCGCGCGGCGCCTGGCTGCTGGGCGGAGGGCACGAGGCCCCCGCCGGCCGCCGCTGCTGGGCGGACGGGGAAGGACGGCCGCTGCGTGGCATCGGCTGCCGCCCGCCGCACAGCATTGCTGGCCACCCTTCTCCTCGCTGGCCTGGCGAGCGCGAGGGGGGCAACTGGGCCCAACAGCTCGCGGCGCGGCGAGCTGCTGGCGATCGGGCTACCTTCACGCGCGACGAAGCGGAGGTCGCCGCGGCCTTCGAGGACGAGGGGCTCGGCGAGGTTGGGTCGCCGCCAACTGAGGAATCGCCGATTGGCGAGCCATCCGAGCCGCTGGCCTCCCGAGGGGGAAGGGAACCAGACCAGTCCTGTCCCCACCCTGCGTCCCTGGACATCTCCTGGGTCGGGGGCTGGGGAACCTGGACCTTGAGTTGGGAACCCCTGTGAAACCGGACCAGGTCCTGGAGTAGGAGGTTGGGCCTCTGAGACCGTCGAGATCCTCAGAGGCGCCCTCTCTACCCAGAAGGAAGCATGATGGCTCAGCAAGGGCGGCGGCTGGCTGTTCTACCTCGCGGACTACTGGGGCGTCCACTGCTTCGGCGCGGCCTGGCCGTTCGTCGCGGGGCTCGGCATCACCCTGATCCTCACCGGGATCCTGGCCATGACGGCGCAAAACTTGAAGACCATTTCGGCCCCTGGCAGCTGGTGCGCCTGGGTGCTCCGCAAGATCCCCGGCATCGTCAAGTGTCCTCGGCGCTCGCCAGGCGAAGCGGGAAGGGGACAAACTCCTGCCACCGGCGGTGCCACGACCAGCTGCCGCGACCTGGGCGGGCCCGACCACGGGGCCCACAGCCACCACCGAGCACTTCGCTGGGCTGCTCGCATCCACGTGGTGTCGTTTGGCTCACCTTTCGGGTGGGCACGCGCGGGCGGTCGGTGGAGGTCAAGGACGGAGACATCCACAAGTCCACAGCCAGGAGCACGCAGCCCTCGACTCCGGAGCCATCGCCGACGCAGGCGCCCACGCCAAGCTCACGAAATGCCGCGGGCTGACCATCGTGTGGCGCGTACTTGCCAGGGGAGCACGGCTGTCGTGGCGTGAAGCCCTACTCCTCGGTTGTGGGATCTGTCGTGGGGGGAGGCGGTGCCGCTGGCGTCGCCGCCGCCGCACTGCGGCTGGCGAAGCGGCGCCCCGCGTAGCAACCGGTCTTGCGGAGATCCTAGACCAGGAGTCGGAGTCAGAGATCGAGCAGGAGGACCGCCCATGCGAGGCAGTCAAGATCGGTGTCGTACTCAAGAATGGCATGCGCCCGCTCGCGGTCAACGGCTGCAACGGCGCCGCTCGGGCTGAGCCGTCCATCCTCCTGCGCGAAGACGGCCGTGCCTCGGGCATCCCGCCGCCCTCAGGAGGGTGCAACGCCACCGCCTGTCTCTGCGCCCACCACGACCAGGTGTATCGGGCGACGCGGCTCTAGGACAAGTGCTCCCAACTGAAATGCTACAAGAGGCCGTGGGAACCGCAGCTGGAGTGCCTCTACGCCTCGTTCACTTGGGTGGAGAAGCCGACCGAGCAGCAGCAGCAGCAGCAGCAGCAGCATCCACGATGCCAGCGCCCCCCGTCGGCTTCTTCGCGGGGTTTCGCCGCGGGAACCTCGGCAACCGCAGCCCTGGGCGCCAGGTCGTCAGCAATGCGAGCATCGACCGACCCACCAACCACGCGCCCAGCCGCGGGGAATCGGAGGTCCGAGGCGCGCCCCCTGCCGGCCCGAGCTCCGTGCGCTTCGCGTCACCGTGTGCCCCGAGGTGAAAGTCGGGGCAGTCAGGGATGAGGAGCACGTCGCGGTGAGGGCGTGCATCCGCTGGCCCGACGGCCCCCGGTGGGTCATCTTCCTGGCCTGATCGACGATGCGGCCGAGCATGGAGCCTCGGCGCAAGATATCAGGATTCGCGTCCGCGGTCCCCGCGGCGAGGAGACCTACTTCAGCATCAGTTCGGACGGGCTGCTGCCCTCTCCGAAGGTAAGCTGCGTTGGGCGCCTGCCAGAAGGCTTCCTGGAGGAGATGCTGCAGCACCCCCCTCGGCGTCCAGCAGCTCGGGACCCCAGTGGTAGCCACTACGGTGCCCCGCCTCGTATGGGCGAAGCTGGCCCCCTTGCAGGGCGTGCGGGTCGGCGGGAAGGCGCGCCCACTCACGCAGCGCCAGTGTGAGCTGCGCCACGCCCCAGGCAATCAGCTGGTCCAGCGGCACCCAGAAGGCACCGCCTCACATGCGCAGCCCATGCACGATTCGGAGCTAGAGGCCATCAGCCAGAGCTTCGCGCAGCAGTCTGAGCGCTGGGGCCGCAGCAGCGATCAGCAGCGCACCCAAGCTGCGTGGCGGAAGGGCGCTTGGCACGGTGCAGCGCATCCTGCGCCAGAACATCATCGCCATCGTCATCCGATGTCGATGCCGCCTCCTCCCTCCCTCGCGCCTGCCAATTAGGCTCGAAGTTTCATTAGTGCTTCGCTGCTGGCAGAGACAGCTCAGTCGTTTGCTGTAAGCGCTAGGCTTCCTCGGCCCCCAGCGATGTGCGGGCTCCCCTTCTCTCTTGCTCCTGCTTCTTGCCTCTGTCTCTCCCGCTTTCCCACTGGAGGCTCAAGCCTTTCTGGGTCAAGCTGGCCCACGTGCGTCGCTGCTGGCAAAGGCAGCCACTATGGTAGATGAGACACTGTGCTATACTATGCCATACAGAAGCAGAAGCAGAAGCTGAAAGTCCTACCATGCAATGGCCCGCGAGGGGCAGGACAAAAACATGAAACACATTCATTGATACAATAGCACGCGCAATGAATGATACAAGACAGACAAACGAAATGTACCATGCCATACAAGAACACACACACACAACGATACACAATACTTTTGTGCATTGAATCATTGTGCTATATAGTGTGGTCACTCTCGGTGTCTCCGTCTATGCCACTCTCTCTGGTCCATGCTTAAAGCTGTTTAGGGACTTCTGCCGCAGCACAGGAGCAACCAAAGTGAACCCCAAATGCGAGAGGACGATCCAGCGTGCCTGCCGTACTGACAGTTGAGTGCCAATCTTGCTGTGCCTTGGGCCCCCTTGGTGGCCCTCTGGGTGGCCGAGGCGACCGCGCGCAATAGCATTCTTTGGCCCGCGAGCGGTCGTCGTGGAGGGCGGCCGATCGCCTCTGGCGCTTGACCGCGCCGATGTCCAACGGTTCCCCGCCGAGGTCGCCGAGGCCGCGCGAGCTCTCCACTTGGAGGCGTGGCCGCCGCCTTCAGGAGCAGAAGCGGGGGCAGGAGGAAGAGGGCAAGGAGGCGGAGGAGCCGTTCGAGGAGGGCTTGGAGGCAGGAGGAGGGGCTGGAGGGATTGGAGATGGGGGGAGCAACAACATCACACTGCTAATTCCCGCCTGCGGCGAACCACGCGGTCACGCGGACAGAAACGGGTTTCGCCCTCGTGGGCCAGCCTCCAAACATCAAGCGGCTGGGCGGCCGAAGAGGAGATGACGAAAGGGCAAGCATGAGGCCAGTGGCGGCAGTCAGCGCCAGCACACACTCACAGGCTGGAGCGCACTGAAGCGGCTGCGGCAAGCGGTGCTGGCGGCGGTACGCAGGTCGAGGTACTAGCAGGGAATCTATCCTGTGCAAGCGCCGCTATGATAACTCAATGCCGCGCATGGCGAAGCTCAACGCGTGTGCCCAAGCGCGGGGCGCTCCTCCGCAGGCGCACTGAAACAGCGAGTGCGCCGAGCTGCGCTGCGAGTCTTCAGCGAGGGTGCACGGGTGCACTCAGGGCGCGCTCGTCCGCGCGAACCCCTGGGGTCCGGAACTTCGGCTTAGCGTGTCGCGGCGACGGCCCTGACGATACGCCATGCCCTGCGAGCGGATAGCGTGCCGCTCCGCTCCGCGGGGCGGGAGGCCGGGAACAGCTCGGGACGTTTACGCTCTGGGAACGCGACGTGATAAGCGTGCCGCCCCGAAGCGCGATGGCCAGAACCGGCGGAGCGACATGCTAAGCCAAAGTCCCCAACCTTACCCCTATCCTCCTCCTCCTCCTCCTCCTCCTCCTCCTCCTCCTCCTCCTCCTCCTCCTCCTCCTCCTCCTCCTCCTCCTCCTCCTCCTCCTCCTCCTCCTCCTCCTCCTCCCCCTTGTCCCCCTCGTCCTCCCCCTCGTCCTCCACCTCGTCCTCCACCTCGTCCTCCACTCCCCTCCACTCCCCTGTCTCCCTACGCCAAGTTTCAGGCGTTCGCGCCGCGACCGCTGGGGGCGAGCTGGCGTTGTCCCACCGCCTCCCCCCGCTCTCCCTCCCGCCCCTCCCGGGGGGAAGGAGACGATACGGGTACTTGCCGCTGCTCCCTGGACCTCTCCCGGGGCCCGCTCTCGCCAAGACTCCGAGGAGAGGGCCCTCCAGGTCGAGCAGGCGGTATCGGTACCTTCTCCTCCCGCTGGCTTTCGGGCCATAACTCGGGCCTCCGGCGGCCGCTGAACGCTCTCGGCGAGGCGCAGCTGCTGGGGAGCATCCCGAGGCAAAACCCTCGAACCTCAAACTTGGCCTCCCTCTCGCTCCGCACCTGCCGCCCGCTGAGCTCTGAGCTCGCCGGTCGCGCCTGCGGAGCTGCCGGGCCCCCCCGCCACGCCGAGGCTCGTCAGCTGCTGGACGCCGTGGGGCGGCGCCAGGCCCTGGCGCCCGCCCTGTCAATCATGCAAAATGACGTGTGCGCACACGGCTTCGAGGTTTGAGGTTTCCCAGTGCCTTCGCCTGTTATCGGTGGTTTTCCAACCTCGGGGTGCCTTCCGGCGGCTGCGCCTCGCCGAGAGCGTTCTGGGGGGGCCCAGATCGCCCCAAACGGCCGCCAAAGAGCCGAGCTATGACCCGAGAGCCAGAGGCACCCCGAGGCTGCAGCAGCTCCAGCCTGTGCTCTGAGCTCCAGGCTGGATCGGTTTGCCTTCGCTCGGGGGGCCAGCGCCTCCGCTCTGAGGGTTTCGGATCCCTCCTAGGTATTCGGGCGCACCTCCTCCTCCTCCTCCTCCTCCTCCTCCTCCTCCTCCTCGTCCTCCTTCTCCTCGTCCTCCTTCTCCTCGTCCTTCTCCTTCTCCTCTCCCTCCTCCTCCTCCTCCTTCTCCTCCTCCTCCTCCTCCTCCTCCTCTTCTTCCTCCTCCTCCTCCTCCTCCTCCTCCTCCTCCTCCTCCGCCTCCGCATGTAATAGTAACCGCAGGACGCGATTGAACACTTCTAGCATGATAACCCGAAGCTGGGCAGAGCTGGACTGAGCTGGGTTGAGGTCGATCGTGCAAGACTGGACAAGGCTGCGCTGGCCCGATCTAGACGGAGCAGGACTGAACTGGACTGGGCAGTGACGATGTGGCAAAGGTGGAAGGAGCAAGACTGACCAGCGCGAAGATAGTATGAACTGCTCTGCGCTAGGCTGTGGTGAACTGGGAGGGGGGGCGTAAAGGGGTTGACATGACGACGAGCACGAGTGCAGGGAGAAGGAGGAGGAGGCGGAGGAGGAGGAGGAGGAGGAGGAGGAGGGGGAGGAGGAGGGGGAGGGGGAGGGGGAGGGGGAGGAGGAGGAGGAGGAGAAGGAGGAGGAGGAGGAGGAGGAGGAGGAGGAGGACGAGGGGGGCACGAGGAGAAAGCCTCTGGGCCGACGGAAGAGCGGGAGCCAGAGGAGGGGCCCAGGGAACATGACCACGACCACGACGGGGATCAGACGTGTGCAGGGGCTTGGCTCGGGGCGCGGGGAGGACGTGGTCGGGGAGGGCCTGGGAGCAGAAGGGGAGAGGCTCGGGGCAGGGAAAGGAGGGAGCTGCTGGAGATGCCTGGGTAACACGATCACGGCCATGACCGTGAACAGAGGAGCACCTCATTCGGGGCAAGCCTGGTATACACTGATCCCTGCTTCTGCTCCACTGGGCCAAGCAGGAAGAGGAACTCATGATTTGGGTCGCGGTCTCGTGTGCCGTTTTCCGTGAGTGCTCCTGAACTCTGAGACGAAGCTGCACCCACACACCTCCACGCCAATGCCTTGATCAGAACTGCACTGAGTGGGGCACGACATGGCTGGAACACCCAGCAAAGCGTTCAGACTATGCGGCCAGCAAAACCGCGAAAGACCAACGATGCCGGGCCCAAGCCTCTCCGAGAAACACCCGCCGCTGAGAGGAAAGGGCCATCTCACCCTCCCCACGAGACCGCCTGAGCAGAAATGAAGCACCCGTCCCCACTAGCATTCCCCGACCACGGCTCGGGAATGTCGCGCGAGCGGAAGCCTCTAACCCCGACGGTGCCCTATACTGCGCATGCCACCCCGCATGCCGCCCAGAGGAGAGTCCAGACTCGAATCGAAAAGACGGATCGGCGATCAAAATGAATCGGACTGGCGGAACTCGGCAGCCAAGTCGAGAGAAGCCACATCAGCGGAAATCGGCAGGCCAGTAGGACTCCGCTGAGACATCGGAGACCAAATATAGGCGGCGCGCCCAGAGGGGAAGTGAGAATGGGGCGGGCCTTCTCAGAAGGCTCAAGAGTCCCCCCGCCTTCAGATAAATGTCCTAAGCCTCCCGCGGAGACGCAAAGAACTTCTCAGAAGGCCGGAGGGCTTCTGAGAAGCCCCGCCGCCTTCTGAGAAGGCCTTCTCCTTCTCAGTTCCCCCCCCTCGGCCACCGCCGACAACCGGGATCCCAAGTCGAATCGAATCGGGATCGGCAGCCATCGAAATCGAATCGACTCGAATCGGCAGGGTCGAAATGAGCCCTGCGACGGTGCCCTCTCCTGCGCACGCGCCCCCGACAGGGCCTCGGCCCAGGCGGTGCCACTGGATCACCACTGAGGGGGGGCGCGGCCTCATCTCGAGGTGGAGGAGAACCCCCCAAAGGGTCCTCCTCCTCCTCCTCCTCCTCCTCCTTCCCTCCCTCCTCCTCCTCTCCTCCTCCTCCTCCTCCTCCTCCTCCTCCTCCTCCTCCTCCTCCTCCTTCTCCTTCCCCTCCTCCTCCCCCCCCCTCCCTCCTCCTCCTCCTCCTCCTCCTCCTCCTCCTCCTCCTCCTCCTCCTCCTCCTCCTCCTCCTCCTCCTCCTCCTCCTCCTCCTTCTCTCCTTCCCTCTTCCTCCTCCCTCCTCCCTCCTCCCTCCTCCCTCCTCCTCCTCCCTCCTCCTCCCTCCTCCTCCTCCTCCTCCCCTCCTCCTCCTCCTCCTCCTCCTTCTCCTCCTCCTCCTCCTCCTCCCTCCTCCTCCTCCTCCTCCTCCTCCTCCTCTCCTCCTCCTCCTCCTCCTCCTCCTCCTCCTCCTCCTCCTCCTCCTCCTCCTCCTCCTCCTCCTCCTCCTCCTCCTCCTCCTCCTCCTCCCACCCAGAGCGCCCGAAGACCTTGTCGGCTCTCGGTCCTCCCTCCCCTTCGATCCTCGGACCCCCAGGAGGTGGCGAGCCCCCCAGCGACGACTACCTGTGGCACTGCCTGATCGGCCGCCGCTACACCCCTCCCGGAGGGGCAACGCCAAGGGACAAGGCGGGGACTGGCATGTGGGGGGGAAGCATCGACCCGGAATCAATCAGCGATGCTGTACATCGCCGATAAATCGGCGAGAGGCCCCGATAGCAAATCCGCACGCTCCTGGGCGGGGGGGGGTGCGATCAATGGGCGATTGGGGGTCGATGCACCCACTTATGTCTATCCCCCCCAATCGTTGCCCCCAACCCCTCCCAGCGTCCCGCAGGAACGCCCGGCGAGGCCGCTGCGACAGCAGCACGCGCAGCGCGTGGCCACGAAGGGTGTGAGGCGAAGCTTGAACGGCACGTACGGCTTCCTTCCGGCCACTTCTGCATGAGGGCAAGGGGGTCCCCTCTTCCTCTTCCTCTTCCTCCTCCTCCTCCTCCTCCTCCTCCTTCTTCTCCGCCTCTTCCTGCTCCTCCTCCTCCTCCTCCTCCTCCTCCTCCTCCTCCTCCTTATCCTCCTCCTCCTCCTCCTCCTCCTCCTCCTCCTCCTCCTCCTCTTCCGTCTCGTCCCCGTGGTGGGTCTTCCAAACCTTCACCGGCACCGGCATGCAAAGATGGGACAGCCTAGTTGCCCCACCCAACATATCCGCCGATCCGGCGTGTGAGTTTCTGAGAGCGTGGGCTTGAGCTTGCTCGAGCTTCGCTCTGGCGAGGGGGGGGGCTGACGCGGGCTGACGTGGGCTGACGCGTTTCGGTGCTCGGGGGAAGGGGGTGCTCGGGGGGGGGGGGGGGCTCGGGGGGGGGGGCTGACGCGGGCTGACGTGACGTGGCTGGCGCGTTTTGCTCGGGGGGAGGGGTGTTCGGGGGGGGAAAGGGGCCCCGGGGGGGGGGGGGCGAGCTTCGCTCTGGCGATGGGGGGGTGGCTGACGCGGGCTAACGCGGGGGGGGGGCTGACGCGGGCTGACGTGACGTGGGCTGACGCGTTTCGGTGCTCGGGGGGGGGGGGGCTCGGGGGTGGGGTGGAGGGGAGCTCGAATAAGGGGGGGGTGCTCGGGAAGGGGGGGGTGCTCGAGGGGGAGGGGGGGGGAAAGGGCTGACGCGGGCTGACGCGTTTCGGGGGGGGGAGGGTTCGGGGAAAGGGGGGGGGGGGAGCGTCGCTCTGACGAGGGGAAGGGGGGGGTTGACGCGAGCTGAAATGGGCTGACGTAGCCTGACGCGTTTCGGTGCTCGGGGGGGAGGGGAGCTGACGCGGCCTGACGCGGAATTCGCGACCGGATGCGGGGGTTCGCGACCGGGGGTGGGTCGCGACCCTGGGGGGGCGAATCGCGACCGGCGGAAGGTCGCGACCCCAGGGGTCTCTTAGATCTTATTTTAAGATCTAATTTTTGGATCTTATTATTGGATCGTAAAATAACATCTAAGACAACATTTAGATCACATCGGTAATTAATTAGCTATTATCATTCGGCAATCTAGTCAGCACAGTCATCGCCATCTCGCGAGCGCGCGCGCTGCACGCGCGGGCTCGCCGCGCCCGCCTGCGTAGTGAAGATGCTCTCGAAATAAGGCGACGACGGGGACCGACGACGAGGAGGGCCGACGACGAGGACCGACGATGGGGAAGGCAGACGATGACGACGAGGGGACGACAACGGCAGCAGCAGCGGGGCGATGGCAGTTACCACCTTCTCCGTTGCCCGTGTCCACCCTTTTCTCCGTGCCCCGCTCTGTTTATACACTTCCCTTCCTCTGGTCTCCCCCCTCCCCTCGACTGCCTCATTCATCGTTTCTGAAGTTGCCTGGTGCTGCCAATCTGCATCCGTGAAGGAGGGGTGACAGCGATGGATGGACGAATGAGGAGGAGGATGAGGAGGGGGAGGAGGAATAGGAGGAGGAGCATGTCAGAACTCCGATGGTTACCCACGGGAACTGCAGTGCGTAACGATTCGGCAGTCACAAGCAAAAAACGTGCATGCCTGCATGCCCCAAAGGCGGCTCGAGAAGGCACGTGCATAGGATTCTTTGAGAGGGGGGGCAGAGGGTGATGCTTACATCATGGCCACGAAAACGGGTCGCGATGGTTTACGACTCGCCTGGTACCACGAGAGTCGTAAAACATCGCGACACGTTGTCGTGCCCTTGGTCGAGTCACCGCTTTGGCAATTCAAACATAACACGCGGTTGCCATGCCGATGGGGCACAGGTGGCACGATTATTAAGAACAACCTCAGCCTCGACAGAACGTGCATGCAGGAGGGAGTGCGAGGACTGGATGGAAATCGAGGGAGGGACCGCTACAGTGAGGGCATTGGATAAGGAACCATTGGTTTAGAAATCCAGGGTCTGGAAGCCAGTGGAACTCCAATCGTGGATTGGCCATTGACGTCACCGCCGCCCTCATCAGATAAGGAATCATCGATGGTCTGAAGCTTCTTGGGCACATTCCTCAACAAATGCCGCCACCGTATCCATTTCGCGCCACTGCGCGCCTGGGGCGCCTAGAACGCCGTGCCGTGCGCACACGCACGCCGTCGCTCTCGTGCATTGTTCTCTCATGTGTGGTGCCGTGCGTCGTGCGTGTTGCGACTTATAAAGGGAGGCTCAGCGCTGCCAACTCAGCCACCACGCTGCAGAAACGGACGGGGTGCTCTTTGGATGCCGACTGGCTAGATGTGCTGTTGATCCAGCCTGTCTGCCTCCACCCAGTGCGCTTCTCGCTGCCCGCCTCCGTGCGTTTGCGCTGCGTGATCCTAGGGCCAACCGTGTACAAAGGCGCGGCGTCGGCGTCTGATGTCACCGGCGCTTGCGCAGCATCGCGCATGGAACATTCGAGCAGAGAGCGAGCGAGCCTAGCGTCGTGGTTCGTCCACGCAGCCAGCGGCTTCAGCGACGTCCAGCCGAAGCCGGCCAGGTACACAGCGAACTTGGTAGCTGTCACCAGTTCCAGCATGTCCTGCGGCACGCGCGAGGAGGAAAAGTAAAGCGAGGAATGGGAGAGCGGCTGACGCGAGGAACGAGGAAGGCGAGGTGATGGAGGATAACATATCCAGGATCATAAGGAAATATCTTGGCAGATCGGGTCACGGAGGAGGGAAGAGGAGAGCATGGAGACACGAATGAGGATGAGTATGGCAGCTGTCACCGCCCCGCCGTTGCCGCCACCGTACGTCGCCATGCTTCAAAGCACTCTTGTAACAAGCGCATCACGGGCATCCTGACCAAGCCGAATCCTAGTGGACGGAGCGCCCGAAGTGGCAGGATCAGCTGCGCAATCCGCCGTCGCCGCCGTCGTCGCGTGACCGGAGAGGCCCGAGTTGCTGTGGCCGCCTAAAGTCAGCCAGCCGTCGCCGTCGTCGTTGCCGTCCTCGTTGCCTCTCTCGCGTTCACGCGCTGCCAATCGCAGGTCGGTGAACCATGTTTGGATGCGACTTGGGCGCGCCCATGCCGCGTCCAAATCGCGTCCGCCTGAGTCTCGGATGCAGCGATTTGGACGCGGCCTGAGCGCGCCCAAGTCGCATCCCGAACTCCGACTGACCGCGCCCAACTGTATAGGATGTGGCGGGGTGGTGGTGGACGGTGGGAAGTGGGCATGCTGTGGCACGAAAGGAGGTGCCCTCATTATCTTTCCCCCCTTTCCTCCCCCAGGTAATATTTTCTTTGCATTGTCTTCTCATTCGAATACCTCACTCTCTATCCCCCTCCCCCTCTCTCCCTCCCATCTCGCATTCCCCCTCCCGCCCGCCCTCCCGCCACCCTCCCGCAGATTTGTTTCATCTATCACTGGCCATCGAGCGGCTGAACACCCTCGTCATCGCGAGGCAACCAGGCAGACGCCGACGTCGCTGGATGTACCATCCGTAGCATGTTGGCTCGAGATGAGTGGGGCTAGCCGAATTTCACCGCCACGGCGGGGCTCGCGCGCGGCGACTTGGCACGCCAGCCGCGCAAGGCCACGGCATGATGCGCCGATCGAGGAAGCATGCGATCGCGAAACCCAGACGGTTGATGGATATTTCGAGGTGACGAAGGACGAGCTGAGCGAGTTGGACGAACATGAGCTGAGCGAAAGCCATATCGACGAGTCGTCTGAGAGCGAGAACGATTACGATCACGATGACACGGGGCTCTCCAATCTTGTCAAGCGCCCTCTCGAATCTGGTCTGTCTCTGCCCCGTGTCATCGCCATCGTAATCGTTCTCGCTCTCGGGCGACTCGTCGATATAGCTTTCGCTCAGCTCATGTTCGCCCAGCTCGCTCAGCTCCTCCGTCGACGCCTCGAAATATTCATCAACCGTCTGGGGTTCGCGATCGCGTGCTTCCTCGATCGGCGCATCATGCCGCGGCCTTGCGCGGCTGGCGTGCCAAGCCGCCGCGCGCGAGCCCCGCCGTGGCAGTGAAATTCTGTTAGTACCGCTCATCTGGACCAACATGCCACGGATGGTGCATCCAGCGACGTCGGCGTCTGCCCACCACTGCCATCCCCAGAGTACGTTATGTCAGCTCCTACGCATCGCCTGCTCCTTCCTCTTCCCCCGACAACGAGCGTAAAGGGCGGTCCTTGACGGATCTCACGTGCCAAAAGATGGACACGACGGGTTCTCCAAAATCAACGTCACGTCGCGAGCTCGCGCCATGGTCGCAAGCCGCGACCTGGGTGGCCCGCCGTCTGGGGCGGTGGGGCGTCCGCGGGAGCGCGCGTCACGCTCTCCTGCCATCCCCTCATCCTCATGCCCCAGTACCCGCCCTAGCCATCCATCATCACGACTTCTGAGGCGATGTGCGAGACGAGAGAAGTCACTTCTCTCATCTCGTCCATCGCTTCCCCGCCCGATCCGATCACCCCCCCGCGCCTGCGGCCGTCGGGGAGGGGGGTGAGGCTGGAGGATGATGCCGATGGGTGACGAGATTTGGTGACGAGATGGACCAAGTAGTTCGTAAAGTGTTCTCTCTCTCTCTCTCTCTATATATATATGTGTATAGGTATATATATATATATATATATATATCCATGTCTGCATCTTTCCTCCCGTAGTCTTCGTCTCTCTCTCTCTCTCTCTCGCTCTCTCTCTCTCTCTCTCTCTCTCTCCTCTCTCTCTCTCTCTCTCTCTCTCTCTCTCTCTCTCTCTCTTATATATATATATGTACATTTCGCTCCATCTCTCTCTCTCTCTCTCTCTCTCTCTCTCTCTCTCTCTCTCTTCTCTATCTCTTCCTATCCCTCTTTCTCATGTCTCCTCTCGATCCACCTCGTGAGCTCTACGTCGCTGCTGCGTGCGCGACTGCGCATGCGCCAGCTTCACTCGCGATCGCGTCGCTTCCGCGATCCCTCCGCCAGACCCCGACGCGGGAGCGAAACGAGATAGCTGAGGGTCCCACACTATTTCAGCCACGAAGTTGGCCTCTAGCACATCCCTCCTGCCCTCGTCGCCATAGATGCCGTTGAGCCTGTCCCGCTTGGTGTGGTACACCGTGGTGTTCAACCACGTGGAACACTCAGGCTCAAACATGACCGAGCCGTCAGGCTTGACCTGCATGACGCCCAGCGCGCACGTCAGGAGACCAAGCAGCGTGCAAACGTCTTCAGTC